AAGAATTTGAACCTGAGAGTCAAGGGAGGTGGGATGGGGAACAATGGGACTCTTGCCAGCCCTGATCCACCCCTGTTCTGCCAAAAGCATAACTTAGCACTATCAGGGTCCTTCATCCTCACCAATAGCAAGAAATTGGAGATCCTCTTGATTTTATTTTATTTAAATTCTTGCCATCTTCCTCCGCATTTTTGAGACTCTCAAGACACTCCCCAAGTCAAATTAATGTTTAATAAACAGCAGTGAATAAGTAAAGCTTGATCACTTGAACACATTTAGTCCAGAAAGTAAGCTGACAGAAGGAGATAAATAGAGGAGTACACAAGTGGATAGGATACGGGAACAGCAGATATAAGTCACACAGAGGACTAGTCTTACACTTTAAACAGAACGAAGAAAATCCTGGTTTAGCTCTTTGAATAGACATGTAAACTAAAATGACATAAAACAAATGGGTGCAAAGCACATTCATTAGGAACAGCAAAAAATTCGGAAGTGAGGGCAAGCACCAGGTAAAGTCTTAGCAAAAGAATATACAATGGGGTAAAGGAAGTCTCTTCAATAAATGGTGCTGGGAAAACTAGTCAGAGATATGCAAAAAAGTGAAACTGGACCACCTCTTACCATATACAAAAATAAACTCAAACTGGATTAAAGACTTAAATGTCAGACCTGAAGCCATAAAACTAGGAGAACACATAGGCACTAAACTCTTTGACACTGTTCTTTGTAATATATTTTTGGCTATGCCTTCTTGGACAAGGGCAATAAAAGCAAAGAAAAACAAATGGGATTACATCAAACTAAAAAGTTTTTGCACAGTGAAGCAAACCATCAACAAGATGAAATACAACCTACTGAATTGGAGAAGATATTTACCAATAATATATCCAAAAACCAAAACATATAAGGAACTCATGCAACTCAACATCAGAAAGTCACTAGAATGTTTTCATCAATCTGTTTCTTCCTCTCTTCTGAGAAAAAAGTTTTACATGATTGTAGTAAGAAATGGTAGGGTTGGTCACTGTTTGGCTTCTGTTTGCTAACAGAAATATTAGCCCACAATCATGTGTTTTTCAGAGTCACATCTTAAAACTCCTTACACAGCATCTTTCTAAATAACCCTTCAGCTGAAGTGTCTTGAAACAAGGCTTTTCGTTTTCCCTCAGTTGTTAAGACTCCCAAAGTGTTTCCTGCCACCATGGTAACTCCACAGGCCACCACAACAGGGTGCCCACAAAGGGGAGTGGGAATAAAGAATCAATACACATGAACCCAGCCTTAGTTCCCATTAGTTCTTCTCCTATGATATACTGTACCTTTCACCACTAGCCCAAAATACCATTCCAATGAAATATTAGGAATCAGAAAATTATATGTACTAGTCAAGCTTTGGCTCAAGCAGGACACTTCTTTTTTAATTCTTTGTGTGTGTATGTGTGTGTGTGTGTGTGTGTGTGTGTGTGATTAAAGCACTTTAGTAAGGTTAATCCCTCAATAGAGTGAGCTTCTCAAATACCCATTTCTTTTTCTTTTCTTTAAAATTTATCTTTATAGTTGAAGTATACCTGAGGGATACCTGAAAGTATTACAGGTATCCCTTCCCCCTCAACTGACCCCCTCCACCTACCCCGCCCTGCGGCCTATTGAAGTATTGTCTATGTTCATGGGTTATGCAATATGCACATAAGTTCTTTGGTTAATCTCTTCCCATCCCCCCTCCCCACTTCCCTCTGATATTCATCAGCCTGCTCCATGCCTCCATGTCTCTGGATTTATTTTTGTTTATCAGTTTATTTTGTTCATTATATTCTACATATACAGTAAGTGAGATCATGTGATACTTATCTTTCAAAAGCATTTCTGATAGCTATTTCCAACATCAAACAGGGATGGAGTGTCTCCCCTCACACTCCAGTGATGGTCTCTGTACTCCTCTAAGTGTCACCACTGCTTTTTTACCTGTTGATTTCTTCTCTGCACTCTGCATTCTAAGCTTCTTAAAGAAAGAAACATATTCCTCATCTCAGAATTCCAAGGAACCAACACAGGTTCGAGGACCAACAAGTACTCAAATGTGAGATGAATTAATAAATTCATCAATTACTTTATTTCTGAATAAATAATTCTGCAGGCTATACAGTTTGTGAAGAACTTTCACATTTACTGCCACATTTGAACCTAACAACATCCATGAAGTTCCCCTTAGGAGGGGCTAAAATTGTCCCCATCTATAGATGAAAACACTGAGGCTGAAAGAAACCAAGTGTCTTGGCTAATGTCACACAAGGAGCAGAAAAAAGATTTCATGAAGGTTTCTGATCTAAATGATTTAACCTCTCTCATTAGAGTCTTGCCTCTCAAATAGAGGATTGTTTGGGACATCATGAATATTAAACTACTTTTTTGGGTCCCTGATTTATAACACATGCTCACTCTAATCCTGGGTGCTTGCATGCCATTCTTGGATTTTATTTATCTGTTTGTTTATACATTTAATTCTATGTAATCACTGGTGTATACTAGTATATATCCTAATCTTTATTATGATTTAAGAGTTTATTACATAACTGTCCTGGAATAAAGGGAAGCTCCAGGAGAGGAACATTCCTCCTGAACAATGCAATGTACTCAGATAGTAACAAACTCTCAGCACTGATGTAAAACAATAATGTTGGTGTGTGCTTGAGCGAGAGAAATATTGTACTATAAAAGGACATTAAATCATGGCATCCTATATAATAAAAGCCTAATATGCTAAGTATCCGGTCACCCAGTCGGCCATTCAACCAAAGTGTAATATGCTAACGATATGCTAATAATATGCTAATAATATGCTAAAGATTCTCAACTGCTCGCTATGATGTGCACTGACCACCAGGGGGCAGACAGTCGACTGGTCAATCAGTCGCTATGATGTGCACTGACCATCAGGGGGCAGACGCTCTGACCAGTAGGTTAGCTTGCTGCTGGGGTCTGGCCGATCGGGACTGAGCCAGACAGGCCAGACATGCCCTGGAGCCCTCCCACAGTCCCTCCCTGGCTGGCCAACCTCCCATGTCCCTCCCTCACACTCCAGTGATGGTCTCTGTACTCCTCTATTCTAGGTGTCAACACTGCTTTTTTACCTGTTGATTTCTTCCCCGGTCCCGATCGTGCACCAATGGGGTCCCTTGGCCTGGCCTGCACCCTCTCGCAATCCGGGACCCCTCAGGGGATGTCGGAGGGCCAGTTTCGGCCCAAAGGTGGAATGACCAGTCGTTATGACATGCATTGACCACCAGGGGGCAGACACTCAATGCAGCAGCGGCCCCCTGGTGGTCAGTGCACATCATAGCGACTGATTGACCAGTCGACTGTCTGCCCCCTGGTGGTCAGTGCGCTCCCACAAGGGGAGCGTCACTCAGCCAGAAGCCCGGCTCATGGCTGGCGAGCGCAGCAGCAGTAGGGGGAGAGGCTCTGTGGCAGCGCGAAGAATGTCTGACTGATGGCTTAGGCCCACTTCCCATGGGTGTACAAATTTCATGCACTGGGCCTCTAGTATGTACTAAAAAATTAATTTAATTTTAAAACTCTCTTTTCTCCCACCCTGCCATGCTCTTTCTTATGAGAAGAGAAGCACATGAATTTCCCCTCAGTCAACTCAACTACAAATTCTAAACAAAATTCACCATCAAGACCAGAAAGGCAGAATTTCAGATCAGCCTTCCTCTCTTTCCATGTCATCCCTTACATTCCTTCAGGAAGGGACAAAGCCTTTCAATCCAGTTAGAGATGTCTTCCACCAAGAACTTGACTCACTGATGACTCTCAATAAATGTTCTAATTGACTTAAGAATTTCAGGCTGCAATCTTCAACTCCAGTTCATAGTTTTTATGGAGGTCTTTTGGTTAAAATATTAACATCAGCAAATATGCCCACTCCCACTGATACAAAACCTATCTATCTTTGGGTTAGGGGAGGAAGTATAACAAACCGGAGACATGAAGTGCCTAGAATTTAAAGTAAGGTCATCCTCTATAAAAAAATAAATAAATATTTATAAGAGGAAAAAAGTACCAAAAAAGCAAAGCAGCATGAGTTGAGGAAATCAAACTTAGATTCCATGATGCTGCTAAGGATAAGTGTAATTCATCATTAGCTTGGAGGAGCCAATGAGCATGTGCGCAGAGGTACTTTTTATCTCACAGCTGCACACCCAGGCAGCTTCAAATGATTCATGAAGATTTTATTTTAGTCTTCAACACATCTAACTTCATATACTAGTAAAGAAGCTATGTTCCTAGGATTCTGAGAATGGCTTACATATGTAAAGATGGGTCGGTGAGCCATAATGAAAATTATTAAGTCCTTACAACCAAAATTACCCTACCCAGCAAGGCTATCATTTAAAATTTAAGGAGAAATAAAGAGTTTCTCAGACAAGACAAACTTAAAGGAGTTCACCACCACCAAACCATATTACAAGAAATGTTAAAAGGTTTTCTTTAAGGATTAGAAAGAAAAGATTAAAAATAAGAACAATAAAAAGGCAATAAATACAAGTCTATCAACAATTGAATCTAAATAAAAAAAATAAATGAACAAGTAGAACAGAAACAGACTCATAGATACAAAGAACATTTTGTCAGATGGGAGGAGGGTGGGGGGATAGATTAAAAAGGTGAATGGATTAAGAAGTACAAATTGGTTGTTACAGAATAGTCATAGGGATATAAACTACATCAGAAGGAATTCGTCAATAATGTTCTAATAACTACGTATGGTGTCAGATGGATATGAGATTTATGAAGATGATCACTTAGTAAGTTATATAATGTCTACACTGGGTTTTATACCTGAAACTAATATAATATTGTATATCAACTGTAATTGAAAAATAAGAATATAAAAATAAAGAAAGTTATTAAGTATTGCCTGTAGTTATAGGAATCCTGAGAAAGAGACAGACACACACGCAATCAAATTATGTTTAAATAAAAAAGCCAACACCTACACTCCAGTCCAGAGTTGCTCTGGGCTCCTTCGCTGGACCATTTGCCACAGGAAGACCGAGGGGATGAGCAGGAGTCAGGTGCTGCAGGCCTGCCCGGGAGATTGCTTTCCTGCAGCAAGAAAGACAAACACACAAAGAAAAAGCACATCAGAAGGTAGTACAGAGCAAAAAATTTCCCATGGGGTAGAAATGATGCATGAGTTAGTCTTCTACATGTGCAAACTGTATTGGAATATATCTGCTTAAAGTTCATGGTGAAGGTAGAAGGTTGGGAGGTCTCAAAGATAGAGAGGTTGAGGGGGTCACTTTGGGACTATACTACTTCAGGATGACAAATTAAAATGTAAGTCCCAGTTGAAATTAGAGGGCAGGATGGGTTGGGTAGACATAATACTTGGACAAGTCTAAAGCTGCCAGACAGTAAAAGTAAGAAAAGCGGGCTCATGAGGTCTTCTATTGAAATTCCTCCACTTCCCAACCAAAGTGCTCTTCAAGCTGGGCACATCACCAAGTTTACTCTGGCTCCTCTTAGGAACATCCTTCCTTTCTCTTGAAGAAGATTTGTACAGGTAGCTCGAGGTTCTCAATGGGAGAAGACTGAGTTGTATCTGCCAAGAAATCTCAAACACTGAAAGACCAATATCTTACCAAGGTCCCGGCAAGAAAAAATCTAGAACGTGTTGTTTGGACTTTAGGTTTATTGAGTGGAACATAAAAGGATTCAGGTGAGAAAGGTGGGAAAGGTTAAGAAAGTCAGCCCTGACTTTGATCTGCAAAGATAAGAAATAAGAGGAGCCCCTTTAGCAAGCAACTATGACTATTGCTGAGAAAAGGAAAGGGAGGCAAGATAACAACATGGGGAGAATGAGAAGAGCAAGATAGAAGGAGAAAGCAGGGTTCACCCAGGGAGATCCTGTAGTATCATCGTGAATAACAGAAGTCAGTTTCTGAACATCTCCATCAAAAAACGCCAAACAAAGGTCTTCAGCTTAAATATGAGTGCTCACACGTGTATTAACTACTAGTAAGAGACTCCTAGAAGGGCCAGGAGCTTTCCCTCTGCAGAAGTGACCAGGTGTGCTCTGAGAATTACCTGAGCTAGAATTAGGTGGATCTTGTGACGCTGCAGCTTTGAGTCCTGATCAGTCTGAGGGCGAGGCCCGGGAATTTGCATTTACAAATGCAGATTCCTTCTGTAAGCTAAAAGTTTACAAACATCTCTATGGGTATCTGAAAGGTTTTTAATCTAAAATGGAACTGGAGAATATGAAATGGAGAATCTCACACATGAGCCCTCAGGAAAATGAAGCTTAAAAACCGAGAGACTGATTTCCCATAAATGCCTGATTTATAGGAGACCAAAACTTATCCCTGGACCAATGATCATTTGCCAAGAATCTCTCCCCACCCTCCAGCCAACGAACTTGCTGTTTGGACTCTGGCTAGGCTCGCATCGCCTTGCCGCTTTGCCCATAAAAACAGCTCACCCCAAACCATTAACAGACTCACCTGTAACTTGCTACAGTCTGTGTGTCCTGAATTGCAATTCTCCTGCTAGTCCCGAATAATCTCAATTTCTGGTAATTCGATCTTGGGTCAGTTTACCTCTTACTTTAGGTTGATAGGGCAGGTGGAAGAGCACTAACTTACCCAGGCCCATCAAGGGGGAGCCCTGAAGGAAATCATCAGCAAGTTCATTGTGTACTTCACCCCATTAGCTCTCTGCAGCCTGTTTCATAGAACATGAACATCTGCCATCTGTTACTGGACCCACAGCACACCAGGTCCCCTGAGAGGCCCAGACCCTCAGACTCCTTCACCCATCTCACTCTACAGAGAACCAAGGTTCCAGACAGTGAGATGGGGGAAAGACAGGCAGTGATGCCCAATATATGGTGAATCCCATCAACTGAGCCATTGAAGGAAAAGGAACTTGCCGGGGTAAAAGAGAGGAGTGAGAGCAGAATCTAAAAGCGTCCTTGGGCCCTAGAAGGCAGATGATCTCACTGTACTGTTCACAGAGCCCTGAAAACTCTACCCAGAAGTAGAATTTATAAAGTTGAGAGAGATGAGCAGCAGCCCACAACCTGAAGAAAAGCTGGACAAGAATCCAGAAATGAACCCAGGACTGTGCAGCCACTAGTCAGCGACCCACACATGTGCCCTGAGCAAGTGTCCAGCCCTTAATATACTCCTATTCCTGCACAGGAAGTCCCAGAATAGCGTCTGGGTCTTCGGTAGTCAGAAGTGATCACATCAAGCTTGCCCGTAGCTGACTTTCGGAAGCTCCCACCAGGCAGCAGGCAATGTGCTTGCTTTATATAAGCCCCCACAGAGTCATTACAAGTATGTGGGCCTTTAATGAAGACAGCCTGAGGACATGATATTCTCTTTCCTCACTTTCACCCAAGCAAATAATTAACAACATCAATTTGGCCCCTCACCCCAAAGTATATCCTATTTTATTGAGCAATAAGAAAAGAATGCTGGCCTCGACAATAAAGATAATTTTTTTTTAATTCAGAAAACAAAGAAAAGAATACTGGAAGATTCTTATAGGGTGATCCTTTATCCCCCCAAGTGTTTTCCTCCACCTGAGTTCAAGGAGCTTCTTCCGCATTTTTAATCGGGACTTTTCCCTGGCTTTGAAGGACTTGGTATAGTGATTCTGAGTTAGTTTTCATCACTGAAAAAATCAGATCTCTGGTAGGAGGTGCAGAGATGCGGGAGAGCGGAGGTACGGAGGTGCATGAAACGGGCTGGCAACTGGGTACACTGTGGTCTTTTTCAATCAGGAGGGAGATACAAACTCGCAACTGCTCTGAACTCCAGTTCCGAGCGAGACTCTGGGGACCCAGACTCATAGAGGGAGAAACTGGACTGTCTGGCATCAGGCCAGAACATGAGGGCGGCTTTCCCTCAGAGGTGCTTGCAGCATTAATTGTTCCTGCATGGGGCCGCGGGACACAGAGACCCAGGGACCTATCCGGGGCAGGGCCAACCCTCAACCATTGCTTTTTGCACCACCCCGTGATTCCCTGAGACCACGCCGCACCCAATTTACAACCCCACCCAAGCTGTGTGCAGAGGCTTTTGCGTATGAATGGCCTGGCCTTTTGCAACGTAACCTAACAAACTGCAGCCAGGTCAAAGAACCCCAAAGCTTCCAAAAGAAGGCCTAAGGCTCATCAGCAGCCTGCATTGCTTCACAGCTGCACCTCATCAGAGCACCTCCAAAAGAGTGATAAAGTTTAAATACAGCTATTTAAACAGCATACTTTTAACCCCAAATTGGCGCAGACCTGCCCATCAGCATGCATTCAGTTGAATCCAAAATGTCACATTTGAGAATAAAATGCTTGAGGAAGACTTTAAACTCTTGACATCAACAATCCAATTTTACATTCCAATTTTGTGTTCATTGTTGACCCAACATGCCACCTTAACATGTTTTGCCATTGAGGATATGATGAACTGTGTTAACTGAAGAAATTTTCATATTGGATGTGTTTACAAGGTCTTGTTTAGAAAATTTCAATTCATCCAAGAACATTCTTGTCCTTTGAGTAATGCTTATGGAAAGTATAAATACTTTAATTTCCGTGAAATATTAAGTATGTTAAGTAACATTTCAGTGTGTGATGTTTTAGTTGTTGTGGTAGGTGTGTGTCTTAAGTTGGGCCTTCTAGAAGCAGACCATGCAATCCAACCTGAACACATGGTAATGCGCAGATGTCACAGGACCTGATCATTATGTTGAAAATGATCTTTATGAGTTGCCCTCCCCCTTTAGACTATCAACCCCTTGAGGGCAGGAGTTGTTTCTTGGCCTTTGTATCTCCAGTCCCTCTTGTGGTCTTTGGCATGACTAATGTTGAATTGAACGGATATAGGGAATGGCAACATGGGTGGGAGGAGTAAGGGGTTATTAAGAGGAACTTGATTGGGACATTTACTTCTTTCTCTCTGGTTCTCTTTCTTCCCTTCACACAGCTGGGGTTGAAGACACATCCTGGTAAGGCTGTGAACTAACATCCCTAGGAATCAGATGTGACTTTGGGTGGCCCCTAACTTGGGAGTCTAGGTTAATTCAATTCTTCTGAAAAGGCCAAACCACCTCATCCAGCCACCTTTACTACCTGATGCTTCCCTGCAGCTGGAATCCTTTACCTAAACCAGCCCCCCATGGCTCTTGGCATCTAGTCAGTCCCCAGGGGCCCCAAAAGCTCCTCCATGCCCCAGTTTGTATGTCTGGGCTTCTGCTGAAGGCCCAGCTATACACTCCAGTATGTCTGTTGGGAAGCTGCAATTTGCCCTGAACCTCCCACCCCCTGTCGGGACTGTGACCTTCTGTCCATGATCCCTTCCATATATCTGCACCTTCTGTGACATAACCTAGAGCCAAAGTCCTCCAAGCACCCACTCCCTTCCCACATCAAGGTGGCACTGCTAGTTAGCCATGGCATTCCACTTTCCCTGAATTCCATAGTTCTCACCTCTAAAATAATTGTATGAATTGAAAAAAATAAAAAACTACAAATGTCCATGTATAATATTTGTTGCAAATGTGATTTTTTTGGTAATAGCTTTATTGAGATATAATCCACATATCATGCAATTTACCCATTTAAAATATATGGTTCAGTGGTTCTTAGCATATTTACAGAGCTATGTAACCATCATCAGAGCCTAATTTTGGAATGTTATCATCACCTCAAAAAGAGACCCCATACCCTTTAACTGTCATTACCAGCCCCCAACTGCTAAGCAACCATGAATCTACCTTCTTTCTCTATAGATTCTGGATAGTTCATACAAATGGAATCATGCAATAAATGGTCTTTTTTGACTGACTTCTTTGACTTAGCATAATGTTTTCAAGGTTCATCCATGTTGTAATGCACTTTTTAAGGAAGAAAAAAATCTATCCTATATAATAAAAGCCTAATATGCTAAGTATCTGACCATTCGACCAGTTGCTATGACACGCACTTACCACCAGGGGGCAGCTGCTCTGACCGGTAGGTTCGCTTGCTGCTGGGGTCCAGCCAATCAGAACTGGGAGAGATGGGCCAGACATGCCCTGGAGCCCTCCCGTGGTCCATCCCC